ATCTGCCAGCCTGGTTAGGGGAGGTTGTTACAGGATGTCAAGCTCTTTGTTAATTAATGTTGCTTCTCTTCAATCCAGGTATTTATGAAGCTTGATTCTGTGCCGTATCTGTTGGGTCAAAGTAGTTCCTAGAACACGTAATGATAAAGCTAGTTCTAATTTCCAGGTACTGACTTTTGTATATCACAGACTGATACATGACTTTAAATTTTTGTGGGAAGAATGGTAGGTTCCCCTATTGGGCAAGCTGATGTGATGTTCGTTACTTTGAATCAGTTAAGTTAGATCCAGTAATATTCACAACTTGTGGCTAAAACTCATTTTAAATTTCTTTGGTGTAACAGGTGTGACAGAAGTTGAACTAAAACGTGATGAATACTGCTGTGGTGGGGATGCAAACAATCGTGGCCCAGAACAAAGAACACTTCTCCCTCTTCTCCCATTCCAGTGTGCAAGTTCCTACAGTTCTAGGAGTATAGAGTACAAAGCTGTGAGTACAAAGAGCAGTAATAGTTACCTCTCATATCTTGACAGAAATCTAAATTCATGTCTCGTTCTGTCCTGAGGCTCCCGTAATTCATATTCTAACAGCTTTCTAGTCCTTGGTTTTCTCTCTCTCCTGTCCTACTCCCTTCCTTTCTGCTCAATTCACTGGAGTTGAGTAAAGCAGTGTCCTTAGCAGAGTGTTAATGAATGCTGGCTTGGTTCTGGTCTTTCTTCTGGATTCCAGGAGCTCCTTCACCTTTTTAAAGCAGTAGGTGCCTCTGTCAAGTCCACATGGCGATTCTGGAGCAAAAAACAACGTGGATCCTTCTCAACAGATGTAAATCTGGCTTAAGATGAATTTGCCTTAAGTTGATTAGGAACAGATTAGAGCTAAAACAAAACCAGCCCCTCTGAGGGCCTGTGCTTCAGTGTGACTGACACTTGTAGAGGTTGCTTGGTTTCACTCTGTCACTTCTCAGAAAGATGCAGATGGCCTTCTGCTCCCTGGGGCTCCAGGGCAGCATGTTGCCAGGCTGGTGGCTTCCCTGGCTTTGTGGTTTTCTCACCATGTTGCTCGTGGCACTGCAAGGAACAAGTGGGAGCAGATTCCTCATTTTTGCATCTCTAGTGCTGCAGAGCAACCCTAGCACAGTTGTTTGGGGCCTTGTCTACAAGGGGAAGCATTAGCTCTGTGAAAGCAAGGAACGACTGCACGGTGTCCTGTAGTTCCCAGAACAGCAGCAGGAGGGGTGCAGAACAGCCTCCAGCAGCAGCAGCCTGGCAAAATGCTGCCTCAATCCCTGCATGGAGCGGGTCCAAAGTAGGAGGTTTGGGCTGTCGCGAAGTGCCCATACCTGTTATCCCCTCCCGCACCTGGCACAGAGGGGAGGGGACTGCTGCAGTGGGGCTGCACTGAGCACCCACCTTGCCCCAGAACTGCAGCAGTTCCAACGGGAGCACCTGGCATCTGCACCCCCAGCTCCGGGTCAGGTTTGCTGAGCAATCGTGCCACCTAGCTTCTGCCCTGTTCGCTTCCTCTGCTGCTCTCAGCCTGTCTGAAATAAAGCCTTAGGATTAAATTGTAGTCTAACCAGCAAGACTGGTGTTGCTATTTTTAAAGCAGCATCAATGAATAACTGGTAGAAACGGTACCGTGGCTGTTTGCAGCTAAAAGCTGTGCTCTTTGGAGTTGATGTAACAGAATAAGGGTTTGAATGACAGTAATGAGCCTTTAAATCTTTTACTTAGTAATAATTTCTGTGAAATTTCTATGTGATGTCTCAGGACAAAATTTTGGGAATATATAGTGTAAGACAAAGCAGAATTCATTAATTCATTTCCTTTCAGGTTTTTGTTGTTATTGTTTGTTTTCTTCTTCTTACTGTACTGATTATAGAGAGCTAAGGAAAAATTGTGCTGATGAAGCACAGCGCTGTAGGTCCTCCTGCTGTTGTGTCTCATCTGGCCTTGGCTTTTCCAGATTCCGTATCTGGATAGTGCCAGCCTTCAGGAGTACAGTGGGGACAGCCATCTGCGCCGTGTCTTCCCTGCTGCAGAAGGGAGGGCCTGGATCACGGGCTCGAGCACCAAGGGCTGCTGCCTGCTCACCTGGGCTGTGGTCACAGGAGCTGCACGGAGCCCTCGCAGCAGCACGGTGCTGTCTGCTCGTGCAGCACAGGTTGCTGTCAGTGTTTGACTGCAACAAGAGAATGTCAGCGAATGAAATGACCGTGTTACACCACTGATATTTTCCTTAGCTGAAAATGTAATGGGAAGACGTTTGGCAAGAAAATACATAAACAACATGAGATTATTACCAAGTGACTGTGGGTAATTTAAGATCATTAGAAGCTAAATGTTGCCTGTGTTCTGGCCATAACGAACGTGGTTTGGCAACTGTTAATTCCATTGGAGTCTTATAGGATGTTAAATACTTAAAAGCCCGTGCTTCAAGCGCCTCTGCAGGAGTTAGGGCTCTGCTTTCCCCGAGACAAGCCGGCTGCCGACCTGGGAGTGCACGAACAGCTCGGGCACCCCCCGCCAAACAGAAAGTGCGCCTAAGCCCCTGTGCGCCCGCCCGCGTGACAAGGCTTCCCGCGCGCACCACACAGCTCGCCGCCGCCGCCGCCTCGCCTTTAGCGCGCGCCCGCCTGCACCGCGAGGCCTCGCTTCCCGCGTTGGGTTGACGCGGCGGCAGAGGCGGGGCTCCGGCGGCAGCGGCGCAAGATGGCGGCCACCACGGGTGCGGGTGAGCGGGCGGCGGGGCCGGGCCGGGCCGGGGGGCGCCGGGCGGGGCCGCCCCTCGCTGCGGGGCAGCAGGCGGCGGGGCCGAGCCGGAAGGTGGCCGCCGGAGAGGCGAGGGCTGCGGTGAAGAGGAAGGGGGTGGCGGGGGCCGGGCCGAGGGGCGCAGTGGCCGGCCGCGGGGCGGCAGGGCCGGGCTCGTCTCCTTCCTCTTCGCCGCAGCCTCGCCGGGGCTGCGAGGCCTCGCGGCGGAGGCCTGGCTGGGGGGACCGGGGCCGAGGGTTGCGGCCGGGCGTGACTCGGTGGAGGGAGCCGCGGAACGCCCCGCGCGGAGGCTTCGGAGCCGCTCCCGGCCGCCCCCGGCCCGCAGTGAGTCCCGGCTCCGGGGTGCGGGCGGAACGCGGCGCTCTCGGAGTGAGCGGCGGCTGTCGGGGGGGTCGGGGCCCGAGGGTGCCGCTTCCGAAGGGCTCAGGAAGTTGAATGCTGATTTCCTGCCTCGTTCTGCTTCTGCTGTGAATGGTTAAACGGCTCATGGTCATCTTTTGCGCATTAAACTAAATGGCAGTAACCAGACCTCGATGTTTCTTTTCTTGCTGATCCTTTCTGGTCAACCTCTGCTGACCAAATAACGCAGTTTCATTCCTGTTTGCCAATCTCACCCATCTGCTCTTGTAAACAGTGCCTGGCGTGCCCTAGCAGCACCACGCTGAGATTGCATTCTCTGATGATAAATGTGGGATCGTCCAAGGGCTGCACCGTGAGGTACAGCAGAAATATCTAGAGGTACTTTCCTTACAGATAGGTTTCTGCTGGTGGCTTTCCAGCCTTCGAGAATAAGTGTCACAGTGCAGTTAATTCCTAGTGACCAAGTTCATAAAAAGGTTCTGTGCTTGGAAGCAGGTGGCTGTGAGGTGTGGAGCACTTGTTAAAGCCCATGGACGGTGCGGATTTCCACTACCGCATTATCTCACTTCTCCACTCCTGTAACTGTATCAGTCTGCTGACTTTCCATTTCGTACACGTCTGGAAAAGCAAGGCCAGTGATTGTTGCTTCTAAACCAGTGCAGCTTCATGAGTTATTGCCTGGGTGGTCATGGGGGAGGGGAGATGGAGATCCAAACTCCAGCGACTGAGTCTGGAGCCAGCCCTGCACAGTTCCTCCGTGCTTTTGGGATGAGCTGTATGCTGGTAGCCACTGTTCATCAGCTGCACTGTGCCTTCGGAGTGCTGTGTTACCTTGCATCCTCCTGAATTTTCCCTGGCCTTCAGTGTTGGAAGCAGTACAGAGCCAGAGAGATGGCAAACAGGTGCTCAGGTCCTTGCCCCTAGAACATGAGCATCAGACAAGCACTGCGCATAGCTGTTCTTGAGGTCCTGTTTGTTGAAGTGCTGCTGGCAAGAGGAAATAGTGCAAAACAGTATGTGTCAAAAAAAATGTGTTGCTGAAACAGTGAACTTGGGCAGTAAGCCCCGTGGTTGGGACTGAGGAATTTTGCATACAGATCCATGGCTTGCACTGGTGTGGGTCTGGGAGCTTTGTCCAGTTGTGAATCCAGACTGCTGTACTTACCACCAACCTGCTTTGTCTGGGTGTACCAGTAAAGTATGGCTGGAGATTGTCCTTTCTGAAAAAGAGAGCAACATAGTGTCTAGTTCCTGACAGCAGTAGTGGCTCTACAATGCAGGTCATGATTCCTCCTCACCAATATGCTGAGGGCATTGGTAACACAGAGCCAGGAAGTGACACCTTGTTGTTCTGCACTGTGCCTGATTCACTGTGGGGCTGCATGCAGGCATCACTATGTCTTCACTCATTTGCAGAACAGGTTTTGCTAACACTTGTTTCATGGCATCTAAATGCATTCATATTTACTTACAAAGTACTTGAGGTGTTTGATATTGTAAGTTTATAGTTCATTGAAAGAGCTTAAGAAGAGGTTGTGGATGAAAAGTATTCAGTCATTCTTTGAAAGCAGCTACTGGCCCAGAGGAAGGAATGACAGATTACAGCACTGCAGATTTAAAGAAAAAAAGTCAGGGCTGATCCTGGGAATTAGACAAGTAAATGCCTTGTCTTTTTATTTAATAAGCCAGTAAGAATAATTAAAAAGGGGAAAAAATGTGAAGAAGTTAGGCTCACCAGTATCGTTTATACAGAGTTCTGTGTTGCAGATGATAATTTTTCTCCTTTCTCTTTTCCTCACAGTTAATATATGAATAAAGAGTTGGCTTTAGTCGTCCTAATAAGGTTTCACAGTAGACCACAGCACCCGAGCAGTAAGTGCTTGCCCAGCTCTCAGGCTGCATGCTGCACAGGTTGGCTCCGTTGGCTCAGGGAGTGGGCACGGTGCAGCCAAGCCCTTAGAGCTGCTGCAGGTGGGTACCTCTGAGTGTTCTGCCACAGCTTGCTCCTGCTCCAGTGTAGCCATGCTCCAGTGGAAGGACATTATTATAAGGGGTCAGAACCTGGCCATGTTGGCCTATGAAATCCTGTTTTTCCAACTTCTGTCATGAGAAAAAGTGTAATGACCTCATTTAACTCACTGTTCTCATATAGGTCTGTTGCAGGGCTGTGGTAGACACTGTGTTTACCAACAGCTCACAGGAACAGAGTGGTAACACAATTTGCCCAGATACAAGTTACTCAAGCTCAGAGGAATGTGGAAAACCTCAACAGAATAGGACAAATAATTCAGTGAATGGGCGTGATGGTGGCAATCTGTGTGGTTAATATTGCTGAGAAAGAAAAAGGCAGACTGATTTTAGTATGGTGTATGAAAAACTTCTCTTTGTAATTGTTGGCGGACCCATAAAATCCCTACAAACTCAGACTTGTTGGTGAAAAGAAGAACAGCCATTAGAATACAGAGGAAGCTGTTTACTGAAGGGTATTGGAGCCTTTGCCTGTGTAGTGCACATAGTGCTCAGTATTATCCCAATAAATATTGCCAGCCACCAAGTGCCTTGTAAGTCTGTCAATAAAATACCTGTGTGAAGGAGAAAGAAATGAAGAAGAAACTGGAAAGGCTAATTCTGCATTCTTAAATAAGATGGAATATAAGAGTACTTGAAGTAGCAGTTGCTGAAGAAGTTGGCAGCAGAGCTTCTTGGTGTCACGCAAGAATAGAATGGGAAACAAGGGTAAATAGTTCAGGAATCTTACAATAAGACAGCTGAATCTTTTTGTATGGTATGGTTATGTAATGTATTGGAAGAATGACATTCTGGCTGAAAACTTAAAATAATTCATTAGGATATTAAAATAAAATAATTTTTAACCATGTAGCTGATGAGTCCAATGAGGTGTGCTGAGGTGTCAGCGTGCCTTCAGCAGGGCAGGGTGCTCAGACGGTTTTCCCAGCTGTGGGATGAGTTCAGGATGACTTCTCTAGAGCACTAACTGAGCTGGTAACCTTTTGCTTTTCAGCTCTGATACAAATGATGGAATGTGTCCCACCCTCCTTCTGCGGGCAGGATGTTGGGTTTCAGCTCCGTGCCAACGCCTGCCTATCTCAGGCATTCTGAAGCCCTCTTTAAGTAATGTGCTTCCAGCAATGAAGGACAGAAGCTCTAGCTTCTGCACAACTGAATACACTGAATTATTTCAGGTGCTCAAGAAGTTATTCTGAATTCACAAGCTATTTCAGTACCCGTCTGCAGTGTGAAGGAGAAAGTGTCTGTAAAGAAGATTCAGGAAATCAAAGGTTCCTGCATCCTGAAAGCTTCTGTGACAACTGCTGAAAGCCTTTTGCTGTTTTAAATATTACATCACTTCAAAAGCTATATATGTTTTTGACAAGGAACAATTTATTTATTTTTTACACTGGTAGTACTGTAAGGATAAGCTGTCAGATTTCCAGTTTGCAGAGAGGTGAGGATTACATTGGAAGAAGTGTATTAAAGGCCGAGTAACAAATGCTCAAAAGTAAACAGCAGAAAGAATTTTAATGTATGCGAGCAACGAAGGCAGTTAAAGTTAATGGATTTCAGTTCCCTTGAAATAATGTAGGTGAGGAACTGGTACAGAAAGTTAAAATGGCCTTGAAAGGGGAGAATTTGGGGTTTCCTATTATCCACGAGTGTGTAAAGAAACCTGCAGCAATTCTTTTCAGAGCCCCTGGCAAGTTGTCGGAATGTCAGGTATGATGCCATGTTTTGGTTCTAGGAGAAGAAGAATGTTGATAGCATAACGATGCTGATCGTTTCTACTAAGCAGTGCTGTACAGAGCCAAGACGTCAGGGAGCTGGGGGGGAACAGAATTAGGACAGCTGACTTCTACCTGCCAAAGGGATATTCCATACCATACAACATCAAGCAGAAGGAGTTTAGAAGGGGGTGGGAGTTCATCACTCTCTCTTCTACTGCCTGAGGGGCTAGCTGCGTATCGGTGGAGGAGTGGTGAGCGATTGCTTGTGCATCACCTGTTATGTACAAATGTATATATTTGTCATAAATACTATCTTTTTTCTCAGTAAATAGTTTTAGCTCAACCCACAAGTTCTACTGCATCTTCTCCTAATTTTATCCCCCATCCCACTGGGTTGGGAGGAGGTGAGTGTAAAACTGTCTGGTGCTTAGCTGTCTGCTGTGTTAAACCACAACAGTAGTGAAGAGCGTTTTCAGTGTGCTTTGTTAAGCTGTTTTCTATGAAATATTTGTGCTATAATCCTCAAGATTTCATTGAAGAAAGGAAAGAGAGATTTACTGACATTTTTGTGAGGCCTTTATTTCGTTCTGCTCGTGCCGAGGAGGAGCATTCAGGAGGAGCATCTACTCTCAGAAGCATTGCCCACTTCATTTCAGTGCTATTTGCACTGTGATACAGTCTCTGAATTCAAGATTGCTTCCCATCTATAGCTGGGAAAATTAAAATATTAAAAAGCAGAGTCTGTCAGCAGATATTATTTTTAACTTGTTAAAGACATACTGTGTACTTCACAAGAATGTGAATTTGAGAAAACCTCGGACTGGTAAGAATATTTTAAAAATAATTCTAAGATGCATGAATTTCTGTATCTCTGCATCCGAAGTGGTGCAGGGAGAAGTGGTGCTGAAGGCGAATCTCAGAGTGCTTTAACTGTCTTTCAGAAATAATTCTGTTTCTTTGGTGCAGAACTGCAGTGGGTTCTGGTGGCCACAGGCTCCTGGTCCCAGTGTGACTGACCTGGCCCAGCCTGTGGCTCGTGGTCCAGCAGACAGCCTTTGTGCCAAACGCTCATTGGTGCCCATCCATGCAGCAGCACTGGAAGTTTTGGAAGCAAAAGCTCCTAATTCTATTTGAAGGCTGGAGAGATGTCATCTAAAACCTAGCAGCTCCTTAACTGCAACTTTAAGTTCAGTAAAATTCATGTCTTGACTTTCTGCAAAACTGCACCTGTGATTCAGTGTTATTCTCAAATTTCCTTTAAAAGTATTTCACGAACTACTTAAAGAATTAATGTCCGTGTTTGAGGCTTCCTGTATGCAAATTTACTAAAAATGAACTTCTTACAGACTGTACAAAGCTGTGTGGTTTGAGAGTTTACCTTACTGGTGCAGTTACGCGGCTCAGCTTTCATAGGTTTGCTCTTGTGAATGGAAGTAAATACCTGCCTTTGCTCTGTAATGCTTCTTCAGTTATGTTTCTGGGAGCATTTCTGCAAGATCAGGCAAGCTGTGAGGAGCCATTATCTGGGTGGAATTGTCTGTTTATGCCATAAATGCTCCCACTGTATGGGAGTCTACTTGAGCCACAGTGAAGGCTCTATAAAAATGCATAGCTGGAAGTATTTTTTATTAATTTATAATTACCCATGACTTTACCAAGTTTTTTTTGTGTTACACAAAGGGCTTTCAGAAAAACAGGTTGGTTTGGGAACTGCCTGGGAGAGCTCCACTGCTGCACTGTGAGCGCTATGGGAGGTGATGGGGTGGACCAGGGCATCCCCTGGCACAGCCTGCTCTGCCTGACAAACAGTGTGGGTGCCTGGAACAATTCAGACCGCTTTCTAGGAATTCTGCCGGACAAAAGCATGACGGTTTGTTTGCGTACAGCCAGCAATTACAGTCCTGCCCAGGTGTTGTAATCAGGATGCGGCAGCTGTCTCTGCGTGGCCCAGGCCATTGCCTTCAGCTTTGTGTGTCCTCCTGGGCTGACCAGCAGCCTGCATCTGATCCGTTCCTCTGCCTTATATAAGGACAGGTCATTTGGAAATAAGCTTATGTTCCTACAATGCTTACTGGAAAGCAGTTGCTGTGGAACTAATAACCATTTCTGTTCGCTTTTTCCATCTAATAGGAACCAGGATGAGATGCAAACAGTGAGTGCTCTGCAAACCTTGGATCTGTCAGGGACCTCAGAGATGCTGTTTGCATTGTGTGTCTGTGGTTCAGGCAGAATCAGACGTGCTGAGCACCCATGCCCTCGGGGAGCCCTGAGGTCAAGCTGCTCTTTCTGCCTGTAACATTGCAAAGCCAGACCTAACTGTGCTTAGCAGTAAAGCTGCCCATTGGTCTGATTATGGCCTCGCCAGATGATGGAATTTTTAATTACACAAGCACCTAAATTTTTTCATGCAGGATTCCTGTCTCTTTCATTGAGTAGAGTGCTTGGTGCTTAGAGAAAGGGCAGGTAGGCAATATTTGTGATTTTCTTTGATGTATGGCCTGTGTCTGCTTTCCTTAAAGCATGCAGTGCTGTCACTATGGTACTGATTCCTCCTCGGTTGTGATTTTGGTCTCTCTCAGTTTCAGCGAGTTTCCTTCACACCACTGGTGAATATGAGGCGGTATTAGCAAACACTGACAGAGAGGCTCAGATGACATTTGGTGGGCATCGCAGTGGTGCTGCCCAGGGAAATGTGGTTTGGTGGCATGATGTGCTCAGCGAAGGTCCTGCAGAGCAGCAGCACGTGCAGGTGGTGATGGCATCTGGTCCCATGGATTTCAGTTAGGATGGAATGCCTGATCTGCCTAGCCCAGTTGTGAGGAGCACACTTGGAACTTTCCGTGCTGAAGGCTCACAGGCTGCATCACAATTTGGAGGTTTTGTGCAAGGGAGATGGCGGCTATCTCAAAGAGGTCCTATTCCTGCTTAGGGTTTGGGATCAGCCTCATGGTGATGGCTTCACAGCCGCACTGACTCATTTCCTTTCACAGCCAAAGGTTTGTATTGCTCAGCAGTCACGGTATCAGCTTGATTAGCATGAAGCTGCACTGGACTGTGCCTTGCAGCCCCTCCTGCATTGGTGCTGCACTGGTGGAACTGGGCTCCTGTCTGTGTCCTCACTACAGCTCTGTCGGTAAATCTCATTTACCCAGAATATTCTGGAACTTGATTATTGGAGATGTGGTACCAAACGGGCCAACAAACTGATTTCTCCAGTAATTTGCTTTTTTTTGTAGTGAATGAAATTGTGGCAACTATAATTCTGGAGCAAGAGTGACTTTGACATTTAATTTGCGTAGGTCACTAATATACTTAGGGATTTTAAGAATACCAGAGCCACCAGACTTTAAAAGCCACTACATTTTAGAAAGCCTTAGGCCTTCTGCCAGTGGTTGCCCATGTTTTCAGGGAGCTCTGGAGATTTACAGAGAGCTCTGTCTTGATTTCTTTCTAACGGCCTCTGTGTGCAACAGAGCATGTGTGCATGCTGTGAATGCTGGATGAGGTGACGTCTTAGGAGAGGTCCACTGGGTCCACTTTGGATGTTTCAAGGCGAGTTGCTCACTCTTTTGCTGCTGTGCTGCATCAGTGATGATGAAGAGCATTCATTAGGATTTTCCACTATTATGCCTTGGTGCATAGTTCATTTTGGGTTATTGAGGTGAAAAAATAATCCAAATCCCAAACTTTTTGTATGTCAGGTGAAAATAAGTCCATCAAATGTATCCTGGCAATAATTTTGTTTCCACTGGAAAGACTTGTGCTCCACCTGGGTATCTGAGGTAGAAGCAGTGGCCTGGAGTGTGCATCTGCTTTGGTGGCTGAGGTATGAGCATCCTGGGGAAGAACAAATAATGAAGGGATCGAAGACCTTCACCACAAATGCAGCATTGTGACCACGAGCGTCTCAATGAGCCCTTGTGCCATTGTTTTTCATTAATGTAGTGGAGATGAGAATTTACTGTGTACGTTTTAAGGAATAGTGCGCTAGCAGTTCAGAAGTGCTGAAGTTCTGTGGTGACAAGGGGTCAGAGGTACTAAAGGCGGCATAGCTACTGACAGAGCGCACCGGACTTCAGATTAACCTTTTAACGTTACGAAAGTGTGCTAGTTGATTGTGGTGATATTTTTAAAAGCTGTGAGAGACTTCATACCATGAGGGACTTGACTCTGCTCATTTTTACTATCTCATGCATTTTCATGCTTTAGATCATTAAAACAACTGCTAATAGAGCTCTGTAATGCTGTTTGTGTCTCTGAGTGGATGGAGAGGTTTCCTGGTTTTGCTGCCTGCCCTAACATCTGGCCTTTCAGACTTTCAGCATGTTTGGTATCACTTGAAAACTCCATGTTAAATAAAGGGCTATCTGTACACTGTTGAGAAACTGTGGTATTTTTAAGGTTTTATTTAAAATGTTGTTCTGATTGTTTTTTAGGTGTAAAAGTTCCTCGTAATTTTCGTCTGTTGGAAGAACTTGAAGAAGGTCAAAAAGGAGTAGGCGATGGAACAGTTAGTTGGGGCCTTGAAGATGATGAAGATATGACACTCACAAGATGGACAGGAATGATTATTGGGCCTCCAAGAGTAAGCATCCACTTAAATATTAAAATACAAGTGTTGCTTGTTTTTTTCTTCCTCTTTTCCTTCTCTGAATCTAAGTACTGAAATAAAAACAAAACACAAATGAGTGGCAAAACTCTTCAGTAAGTGACTTATGTTGAAAGATCAACTGATGTATACAAACGGGTTTCATCTATCTCTATGTCTTTTTGCTTATGATCTGGAATACTTGTAGTACCCACTTCTGGTTAGTTCTGTCACATCTGCTTTGTATTTACAGATTCATTAAGACCTAACTTTTGAGATTCCAGGATTCTAATATCCTCTGCTCTTGAATGCAGTAAGGTTCAAAATCCTTCAGCTAGTGAGATTACATTTAGAGCTAACCTAGGTAAAATGTGGATGTCCTGTCAGCACTGCTGGTGGTCTTTCTGCTGCATCCTCTTGAGTTTGTGAGTTCGTTTTGATTGCAGAAGTATTGACATGCTCCTTTACAGTTTCAACTAACTCAGGAAACTTGAATTTTAGTGAATTCAGTTACTTTTTTGAATGTTCTCTCCCAAAGTAGCTTCTTGTAATGCAGTCATAATCTTTTTGATAGCACTGATGTGTATTCTCTGTCTCCTTTCCCTCCCAGAACCTTACTCAACTGAGGGTCTGTGGCAGTAAATATTAGGGCTTGATTGTGCATCATATGTATGCATGTATTCTAAAAACAGAAGGTGTCTGTGGCCCCCGTTTCTGCCGTGTATTTGTTTGGTTTCCTTGTTATCCCTGCCATGAAGTGCAGGTAGTTAGTTCTCCTTCCTGCAGTAGTCTGTGTTGTCCTCTGTGTCTGGCTTCAGTATCACTTCTCAAAAATTCCAGTTCTATCAATATGGAAACCTTTACAATCCTTCAATCATGCTACCGCCTGATGTGTTTCCATTTTGTCAGTTGCCTTTTCTGACTCAAGATGATGACGTGCAGGAATTAATAACACTTTACACGTGCAGTATTTTCTATCTCATCTAGAAGGGTTCTTCTCTTTTTGCCATTTCTAACATCTGCCCATACATGACCGTTTCATTTGTTTATGATATGCCCAAATTGTTTCTCAGAATGACATTTGATTTTAGAACATTAGGAGAGCTTTAATGAGCCTACGTTAGGATGGTGAGGTAGGCTCACTGTGCACTTACATGCTATGCAAAATTTGAACAACCTTGAAATCTAATTTAGAAATTCAAATAGAAACAAACATGCAAATAGGCATATGTTGACTTGTCAGCAGTGATAGAAATCTGTAGCTCACGTCACACTGCTAACCAAGGCTAGAGGACTGCCACAAAAGAATTATTCAGCTGTGCCTCTTTTGTCTTTCTGACACACTTATGAATACAGATTTTTTTTTTTTTTTTAACATTCTTGAGTTGAGGTAATTGTTTGAAGACCACAGGCTGCAGTGAGGGAGATTCTGGGAACTTTCAGACATTCTTATTTGTGAGGAGGTTCCTCTGCTTTTAGGTCTGTTCATACTCAGTGCTGTAATTACCATTTTTTTAATAGGATGTGAGAAATACTGGCTTTGGAAAAAAATCAAAAAGTCCTGTTTTCTTCTGAGTAGAAAACAGTCATGCTTGTGGCAGATGGAGGAATCTGATGCTGCGCATCCCGTAGGGAAAAAAGAACTGTTGTGCTGAGCGGGGTCCGCGTTGCTGCTCTGGGTGTCCCTGCTACCATACATGGAGGCGTGCTGCTCCTTCCCAGGCTCGGTGCAGACGGTTTTGCAACCAATCATTCCTCTTGCTTATACAAACTATTCAATAACAGTGGTGCTGTCAGAACTTTGACTTTGTCTGCACCTGTTTTATACGGGCTGTAGACCTGTGCATGATGAAGACTTCCTGTTCACTAGTCTTAATGTGATGTGGTTACCTGCAAGGACCATAAAAGCCTGCAGACTTTGGTGTGTTAATTGCTCTGTGCACAGAGCTTTCGTGGTTCCGTCAGGAGACTGGAACAGTCCAGGCTGAGCCAGGAGACTGTCTCCCAGTCTCTGGGACAGTGTTGATGCTGATTGGGTTCAGGATGTACAGGGCTGCTCCAAAAGTAATGCCTCCTATTTTGTGATGTTGGCCCGTGATGTCAGAGGCGGATATTGGTGGTGTGGCAGTAGGGCTGAACCTTCCCACCAATGTCCCGTTACATCTTGTTGCCGTGTGACAGCTGGCAGCAGAGGGGCAGTCTGACAGAGTGGTGTCTGACATGGAAGTGCTTATGGAGCAAAGGGAGGAAATTGGATTCCCCTATGTGGCAAAAAAAAGGCACCCATTCACATCCATCCATGATTGCTGAACATACATGGAGACCAAGCAGTGGATGCTGGCACAGTCATGGTGGTGCCTTTCAGCACTGTCAACAGCAACATGAAGGATAAGCCGTGTTCCAGAATGGCCTTGCACAGCTGTCATACAACAAAGTGAAGAGCGCCTTGATCAACTCATCTCCACGATTCAACTAATGGTGGGGACTATGTTGAAAACCAGTGTTTTATAGCTGAGAATTTGCTCTATCAAATAATGTTACTGTGCTTTATGTATCTGTTGTAGTTTCCATGAAAATAAATAGGAGGCATTACTTTCAGTACAACCTGTGTACTTTGAAATATACTAAATTTTGGAGCATTCATCTTTCAGAGAGCTCATGCATTGGGTTGACCATTGACTAAAGAAAGTATTTAAGTGCAGCTTTAGGACTGGCCAACTTCAGATAGCTCTCTACACTAAAGCCTTAGTTTTGATTTCAAGTTCATGTTTGTGATTAATGAATTGATAAAAACAGAACTGATTTATAAAGATTGGTTGAAAAGTAGATATCTAAACTATATGATGATAACAAAAATCATTTCAGGTAGTGAACAGGAAGCAATGCCAGCTTCACTTTTAAGTGAAAATTCAATGTGTGCTTAAAAAAATAGTGGAACTTAATATGCAGAAGAACAGCATTTAGTGCTTCAAATATTGTAAAATGAACCCAAAACAGAGGGAGCCAGCATAGTTTGCAAGTGACTGCCTTTCTGTTTAGTGGTTTGGGTCCCTGAAATAACCACTGTTTTAACCTAGTGATTGTTGAACTGCCTGATATAATTGTTCCCCCTCCCTGCTTTTATTCCCCCAGACAATTTATGAAAACAGAATATACAGCCTTAAAATAGAATGTGGGCCTAAGTATCCAGAAGCACCTCCATTTGTAAGATTTGTAACAAAAATTAATATGAATGGAGTAAATAGTTCTAATGGAGTGGTAAGTTTTTGTTTTTATTATTTTACATGACTTTCCTGTGCAGCTTCAAATGAATGCTTTATATTTGCAATTTGCTTTAATACTTTCTGTTTGCTCGTACCATTTCTTAGAGTAGAAGGAAAGGGGAATAGAAGGGAACTGTACAAACTGAGAGAATACTGGAATCAAAATGTACTTTTCCTATACATTTGCAGCTTGCAAATAGATATGCATGTATTAGTTATGCTTTCAGAAAAGCCACTTGCTTGCTTTTGCATTCTTTGTTCTCTTGCACTCAGACTTCTTAAAAGATCTTTGGCTGGAGGGTGTGTGTGGGAGTTATCTGTATTGATAGTACTGACTGTGACAGAAATGGTGTTTTTGTCTGTTCTAGGTGGACCCCAGAGCCATATCAGTCCTAGCAAAATGGCAGAATTCTTTTAGTATCAAAGTTGTTCTGCAAGAGCTTCGGCGTCTAATGATGTCTAAAGAAAATATGAAACTTCCTCAGCCACCTGAAGGACAATGTTACAGCAATTAATTAAAAAAAAAGAATCATGCCCCTTTATTCAATTTAAGCTGTCTTCATTTTCCACAGTAGTAAATTTTCTAGATGCATCTTGTAGACCTCAAAATACTGGAAAGGAAGTTCCCATTCAAAGAACATTTTTCTTGAGATACTGTAAATGATACTAATTTTTTTCATTTGAAATATAAGTTGTGCTATAACAAATAATCCTGTCGTGTAACCACTGTCCACATAGCTGAACTTCTGGTATCAGGAAAAGTCAATTCAAATTGATTACTGTCAAGACCAGTGTGGCACATCTAACTTAACTGTGAAGCATACATCCCACAATCACCTTGCTGTGTGTCTGGCCTGGGTTGTTTTGTTTATTTCCTTTTTCTGTCTTCTGCAATAGCGTTGAAGCTCAGGGCTGTTTATTAGAATAGACACAAAGGTTTTTGCTTCCAGTACGACACTGGGCTTAATGGACTACTAATGGGGATGTGTGCTAACCTCTGTCATCCCTCCCTTTGTGCTATCTCTAGTAAAGGCTGAATGTGACTGTGGTCATTTTTGGTTTTATATTTTTTTAATGCCCTGTTAATCTGGGGCAAGCTTTCCTCTGGCCAAGGCATAGATTGTATTTCTCTTCCTGATCTTCCTCACCAGAAACATGAGCATTGGATGAGGGATTCAGGGTTCTTTTAATCTCTTCCCTCTTCCCCTCTTTTTAGTGGGGATGCTGCTTTCTTTTTGCCCCTCTCTGTCTCTTCTCACCCCTGGATGGCAGGGGTAAGCACTGGGGCAATAACTTGACGTATTCCCTTCTGCTTATTGTTTTGATTTTGCAACAAATTTAGTCTTCACCAGCCTGGGAACCAAGAGTATCTGTTCTGCTCGCAAGTGTGGATTTTCTCTGTTCCTCTGGCATTACTGCCACACCACCAAGCTGGCTGCGGCTGATGTTGTTAGATAGGCTTTTGACATGGTGAAAAGAGCAGTAATTTACCAGGATGGCCAAAATCTGCTGCCAGATCTGCGCGTAGATTCAAAACACACACTCCAGTTCCAGTCGCTGTGTTGTTGGTGCTTTGGAATGACCCAGGAACGTTGATTAACTGAGTGCAGCATCCAGGTTGGCCCTTCTAAAAGTCTGACAGACAAATCGAGTCAGCATAGATTCCGTTAGGATTCTCTGAGTGTTGGAAGAGAAAACCCCTCAGCAAAGATCTGGGGAAGTGGTGCGTACAGCAGAGTAAGGACCGGTACTGGCTTTGCATCCTGGCAAATCGCTGCCTTTTCTGTTTTACTCTTTTGGACCACTAACTTCAGTGTGGATGCAAGCTTACATGCAACCAGCCTAGTGTGTCTGAAATTTGATGAAAAGATCAAGTGTTTGCGTAAAAAAAAAAAGAAAAAGGAAAAAAAGAATAAAAATACGTTTTAAAGCAGCAGCTATCAAGTCAATGAACAACAATGTTTCCATTAACTCTTTTGAGAAAAATATTAGTTGTAAGGATTTATCATCATCTGTAATTAAGATTTAACATAACAGTATTCCATAAGCAGCCTTTTTATTGTATCAGACCATTGCCTGATTTTAATATAATAAAAAGTGTGCATTAATATTAGAAGGCTTTAATTGTATTTATGTTTAAATTTTGATCCCCTATGGAATTTTTGATTTGTCGGAAGTATCTTCCTACAGATCGCACTTAGTTAAGAGCATGAAAACTGGTGGTGAAAGGCAATTGTCTTTATCCAGCTGCTGCTGCTGCTGTGCCAAGGAGAAGCTTTAGATTCAGTGTAGCCCTCAGACAGACCTGCGTAGAGTTGCCCGCGGCAGTGCCAGTGGTGCTGAGGAGCCCGAGGTGCCGGCACTGCAGTGACCTTCTGTGCCGTAACCCCGAGGAAGTCGACTCCACGTGTGGTTGCATGCAGCACTGTCAGGTTAATGAAGAACTTTGCAGCCTGAAATCTCACCTGATTCTCAAGTGGTGAACTGTGAAAAACAGACCTTTGTAAATCTGGATAAAGATGGAGCTGCACAGTTTGGGCTTTTTTGGGTTCAGACTATCTCTGCTAACGAAGATTGCTGGAAGGTCTCCGTTGTGCTTTAACTTCGGTATTGCGATGAAATGCGGAGTTCTGGGTGTGGGGACAGAAAAGGGAACGAGCTGTACGTGTGAAACTTGTGCTGTCCTGTGGTCTTTGCCAGTCATAGCTCAGAGGGTGTTGTGAAGACAGACGAATACTGTGTCAGCATTGTGTGTTTTTGAAGTTGCTCTGTATCTGAAGGTGTTAAATGGGAACCGGGAAAATGCTTGGTCATTGCGGAGTGGTTCTTGAATGGCTCTGTTTTACTGAGCTGCTGTGAGAATGCCCATGTGCTGCTCAGGAGGGTGTGGTTGGTGCGTGGTTGGTGCTTCCCCCGCCTTCAGAATGCAAGTGCTGGTTTGAAAACTCCGGAACCGTCAGATTTGCTTTGCACAGGTTGGTGTGTTCTACTTTGACCTGAGCCACGCTTCATTGGGATCTGTGCTAGCCGTTGTCCTTGTGGTACAGTGTTGGGAGATGCTTTGGAAAAAAAAAGTGGTTGACTGTTCATTGTCTTATGTAGGAGGTGCGCTCAGGAACACTTGGTGCTCTGTGCACTGGTATTCCATGCTAAGTATGAGCAGCATAGAAAAAATAGCACACTAAGACTCAGATGCTATTGATTCCATGTGCTGTGGTTCTGTCAAATGTGTGTGACCTCAGAGCTCTGTGGTGGTAGAGACTGGCCATCCCTGCCTGCCATCTTGTGCCCCGGGCCTGTTCACGCTGCGGACATGGAGGTGGGCAGTGAACCTGCATCCTCCTGCGTCCTCCTGCGTGCGTTCCTCCTCTGGCAATGCACGACAGGGTGCTCTGCTGTCCCCGCTGACCTTGGCTTGCGCTCCAATCTGGTGTCTCGTGAAGTAAAGTCTGGAGAAGAGGAGGCTCAGGGGAGACCTCATTGCACTGTACAACCTCCTGAAGGGAGGTTGTGGTGAAGAGGGATTTGGCCTCTTCTCCCAGGCAACGAGCAGAACATGGGGCAATGGCCGCAAGTTGTATCAGAGGAGGTTCAGGTTGGACATAAGGAAGAATTCTTCTCTCAGAGAGTAGTCAGGCACTGGAATGGCCTGCCCAGGTGGTGGAGTCACCGTCCCTGGCAGTGTTCAAGACGTGTCTGGATGACATGCTGCGTGATATGGTTTAGTGCTGGTGGTGGCAATGGTGATGAGGAGACGGACTGGATGATCTTATAGGTCGTTTCCAACCTTGTGATTCTTGTGATTCTTGTAAAAGGCGTGAGCGATAATAAACACTCCTGTGGCCACGAAATAGATGCTGCTCCTGGGGGCTCGTTCTGGAGGTGGCTGCTCAGCGGGCAGGCAGTGCAGAGCAGCCCCCGCTGCTGCCCTCCCCCGTCGGGGCTCACCCGGGGCAGCGCCGCGACGCTCCGGCTGTGCGCAGTGCCGGCCCGGCCGCTAGGGGGAGCCATAGCGCTGCGCAGCTTCTCGCGTCGGGGCCTCTTTCCACGTGGATCCTGAATCAATTTTTGATTTAAGAACCTGTGGAAAGCGGCTTTTTTTTTTACTGTGCCGACATTAGGGGAATGCCACCAGGGTAGTGAGATTTGAGTTGCTAATAAAGACAACTTATTTGCTTCTTGCTCGGATGTAATTAAGCTTTGTGTATTTATATGGGGAGCACATGCTTAAATATGCTTTTTTTGTCCTTTTAACCTTTTAACCTAGTGCTTAGGATTTAGAAGTTAAGTTTCTTCCATCATCGTTAGTGGAATAACTTTTAAGCCAAAAGATGCCATCAGCAGCTCTGTGTGAAGCAAGTGGCTGAGCTTTAGCCTGGGTTTGGACCGGAATGAGGGGCAGCAAGCGAGAGCAGAGTTGGATGTGGCCGTGCCCCTAATTCTGGAGCACACAGCTGGGCCAGGAATGGACCCCAACGTTTTATCTCAGTGGCAGATGGGATGTGGAGGAGCAAAGTTGTTATGCCAATTTTAATAAGGGAAGCAAAGCCAGAGACTTTTTCACATTTTTCTGATAATGTAAGGAGTGTTCAGATGTGCTCTACTTCTCCAAATATCAGACTTTGCAGTGTCTTGCCCAGAGCTGTGGTGCTGTTTGTGGCTCACCTTGTATTTGTAGTACTTGGCCACTGGCAGTTGGGGGTTGTACCTTATCCTCAGGACAGTGTTTCCTACATCAAGGAACAGCACACTGAATTCACTACTTTATTTTAAGCTTGCATTGGCTTACACTGAGACGAGGTAGTTCCAGTTCTTCGTGTACCTGTAAGCCTGTCTGCTTCAAGCTCTTGAGCTGAAAGGAGTTGAAGAAAGCTCAATGATGATATTCTTGGTATATAATCTTTTTTACGTGTTGATTTGAATGTAAGGAACTTCTCTGGTGGCTTAGAGTTTCCCTAAGTGAGTGGAAACTGACACATGGCACGAATCTTTGGCTAAGATGCTCTTCAAAGGCAAGCTAACGTTGCTGTTGACCAAGAGTCAGTTTCTCAGTTTCTCTGGTCTTCTTGTAGCAAATTGCCAAAACTGCTTAACTTTCAAGCTTGTGAAGAGCTCCATGAAGTCAAATGTGTATTAGGTGCATGCTTAAGTGCTTTGCTGGACCAGAGCAAGCGTGCTGGGAGAGAGACTTCTGTGGCCTCTCCTGAGGATCTTCTTCCCAGCCCTCCCCTCACAGTGCCATTTCATTTCCTTGGTGTTTATGCCTTTATGTTTTCCCAATGTCTCCCATGTTCCTTGAAAAAAAAAAAAAACGAAAAAAAAAAACAACACACCACGAAAGAAGCAGCAGAAGACAAGGTAGAAGATAAGGTGATAAGGTGGTTTCTCGCGATTTTATATCTGTCAAACATTTTGTCCCCATTTTCATCCTTGTCTCTTTTTCAATAAAGCCTACAAAGGGTTTTCAGAAATGTGGGTTATGTCCTAATTTGCTGCCTCTCAAGCTGCGTTGTTGGTGGCTTTGCTCTGGGATGTCTAGAAGGCCTTGTTGTATATGGGTAGTAAAAAGGGAGAATAAATGTCAAATGGTCTGCCTAAACGTCCCTTCCTGACTTGGCTGCTGAACATTTATTCGTTTGTGTTGTCTTGTCGCACTAGCTCTCTGCTCTTCAAAGGCAGTCTTGGAATAGCCAAAGCTGAAATTGCCTTTGAGGGAAATGAAAACCAAGAATTCTAGAAAGGGAAAGGAAGCAAAATTCTAAGCCATAGCGATCAGAATGAGTCCATTTTCCCTTGTCCCAGCTCTTTTTATAGGTGTGTTCATAGTTTTCCTGATCCTGGTCTCCAGATCTACAGAGGAGGGAGGTTTGTGGCCTCAAGGTGGAGGACCCCACGGAAGGTTCCTGCATGTCTGCGTCCATGCGGTGTGAATGCTGGGGCTGGACGGGCCGAGGGCAGGCAGGGCTGGCAGCACCGGTGTGAGCACGCTGGAAGAGCAGTGTGGCTGTGAATGGACAAACAGCTGCTTTCTGTCCATGGAGCAGGGGGGAGCACATGTCAGGGAAACACACACACAGTCCCACACCTTCAGAAGTGTTCCAGGAAATTGCGAGTAATGCTTAATTACAGCTTTTTGTAATCGTTGAGGCTTGGATGCTGTGTAAATAGGGCCTTGATGAAGAACGACTGTGTCTGACACTGCAGCAGCGACTGAGACTTGAGAAACAACCGTGGAAAAACAGAGATCTCAATAAGATATTTGCCAAACTTCTTTCCTTCTGAAGAGGCTTCTTAAATCCCTGGGCTACCAGATTATGCCTTGTCTGGGGTTAGCAACCAGATGTTTCTCAGCTGCTTGGACTGCTTTCCAGCTGAGACCCAATGAGTGGCTGTCCAACATGTAAATATTAATATAAACATTTTAGAGGCCTTGCCTGGAGCCAGCCATTAAAAACTTCCCACAGTACTGAGAGTGATGCTGGCTTCCTTGGAGAGTATCAGGGGCAGGGCTGGGAGCAGGGCAGGCAGGCAGGCTGCCACCTGCTGCAGCGCGGGGCCGCCCCTTGCTCCCGTGGCGCCAGAGCAGTGTGGTCCCTGGAATTTGATTATTTACGTTAGCAGATAATTTAGGCCAGGAGGCTTAGAGTGTTCCTTCTGTGGATGTCGTCATGCTTCCCAGCAGAACACAATCCTGGGTCCTGTGTCTCTTCCCCTCACCCCACAAGTACAACAAAAACGCTTTCAACTTTCCTTCTTCTGAAGGGCCCCTGTCCACTAGGTTTAAGCTTGTTTGCAGCTTGCCTGGGCCTGCCACGAGGGGAGGAGCGTTTAGAGCCATGTTTTTAATTATTATATATATTTTTTAAAAAGTTTTTAATGGAGAATTCTTCTGAAATATTTTCTATTCCACCCACGAATCCAAACATGAGCTCTGGAAGATGCTGCTCTCCTGTCAAGGTGCAAGGAATAGCTCCCAGTGTCCTCGTTACTTCCATCGAGTTTCAGGGCGTCACTTCTCCAAGACCTGAACTGCACTACTCCCAAACCCATTGGCGTTTTGCACCAGGCCTAGGTCCCATCAGCCCCAAGGGACACATCCGTGGAGCAGGGCAA